CATTCTGAACGCACCTTGGTACATAAACAACCATAGGATCCATGAAGATCTCCAAATAAACACAGTGATCACTGAAGTGGAATACCAAATACTTAAAAAATTAGAAAACCACACTAATGCACTAGCAGTGAACCTACCAGGCAATAGCGAAACTACATATAGACTGAAAAGATACACGGTCCTAACTCTACCAGACATACCGGAGTAAAACCCCTATACAAGAATTAAAATGATACATAAGTGAACAAAAAAAAAAGCCTATATGAGTTACGCCACTGGGCATAACTCATTCACGAGCCAATACTCATTGAACATACATTTACTGCAGGTTCTGCTGATTGTGTGTAATCAATGTGTGGAAATAAAGTTGATGGCGGGATACACACACTCACAGCAGGATGAACTCATAGGCCTACTTTAATTTTTTTTCCAAAATAACAAAAATAGAGTAAAAAAGGAAGAGTCGGGTGATAACAGTGAAAATAAAAAGAAAACTACACAGACAACAACAGACAAACGAAATATTTAAATAACTTCCGCCAGTGTTCTTCGTTCTATTCTTTGGCACAAGCGTCTAGGAAAACAGACCCAAACAAAAATATGCAAATCACTGGTGGTCTTTCAGAAGATAACAAAATATTACTTCGCATAACAATAAGTCTAAGTACCCTCTTATTAACCTTTGACCACGTATGAATACGAAAAGGTTGGGCATATGAAAGAGGATATAGCCCAATACTAGTCAGAAATAATTTCTCTTGGGAAAACGAAAAGATTCGTGTGCGTGGGAATGAGGAGAAATAGTTTGTACCTTGCAGTACCGGGCAATGCGTGCGCAGCCCACAAAATATAGGAGAGTAATGGCGGTCTGAACTTGCACGCACACGTACGGTCCACTTTATTGGGATGTTCCCGTATTTACCTGCCACAGAACACGCCCACCTGTTTCCGAGATAAACGCTCTTGCTTACTTACCAGACTACCAACTAGCTAATCAATGCACTCACTAACTCCATGGAGCTGAGTCTTTCTTGAAAAGCCGCCAGTCGCTCAGCTACTCAAGGATTTATCAAAATTTTATGAACCCCGATGATTTATTACTGTGTTCACAAGAAACCGTAATTAATCCCTATCCTGAGCTCTATTAAACCAGTCCATGGCAGGATCAGGAGCTTCGAAAGATTCTTTTTTCTTTCTTATGACTTAGCATTTGGTTTCACTGAAGCGGCATCAGGGTCGGAAGTTCTGCAATATTTCAGTTTTCACAAGACAGTGAAGTTAAGCTTGTTCGTCAGTTGAAAACACCAGAACTTTATCATCATCATCACACTCAGATATTATAAATGTTTTGTTTTTACTTCATGTTTCTTTCTTTCTTTTATTCGTGCTCACTTTGTAATTGGCATTTGGGCTGCTGAGTCAGAATGCAAAATAAATAGGAATTGAATTACTACTACTACTACTACTACTGCTACTACTACTACTACTACTACTACTACTACTACTACTACTACTACTACTACTACTACTACTACCTGCTCTTTGACTTTCTGATAGTTATGTAAACTAGTTTCCCAATTACCTAACCAACAAACGACCCATATATTAAAAATAAATTTTGTCTTAATCATATTTGACAATAATATTATATAATTATTAAAACAATAGTTTTATCTGATATTTGTATATAACTATTTGCATCTCATAAACATAATGTTATTGCTCTAATGGAATTGTTGTTAGTATCTAAACAAAAAAAATGCCTCGTTTTTTTGTACGTATTTGTTCGTTTTGTTCCTATCATTTGTTCATGCTTATTTTATAACTGACTTTGAGCTGCTAAGCCAGAACGTAACTAAATAAGGAATTGAATTGTTATTATTATTATTAACATTATGAAAATTTGCATTCGTAAAATAAGGGGTTCCTCACCATTCATCTGTACAGCAACAGTTTGCAGCGATGGATAGTATGACTGTCTGTAATTCCTACAGTTGCTCTGGCATCACTGCTATTGTCACGGCGTAAGAGATTCAAGTGGAGAAAGCAAGGGCATTAAAGATGAAGACTAATTTCTTTCCCAGATGGTTGATATGTCCCTAATCTCTCTCATCTTACGTCAAACAGACACGTCCAAATGTTTACACCTGTACGCCTGTTTACGTCAGCGCTACAGGAGTTCTTATTTCAGTTGCACGATTATTGTTTTCAAATCATAGCACTACCAAGTCCTATTAGCATTAAAATGTCAAGGAGGATGAGAGGAATAGAACGTTTAGCATAGATGAAAGAGCTGAGAAATGGCAACTAAAGGGAAGGTTCTCTTCCAAGAATTGGTAAGAGATCTTCTCCTCTCCACTAAGTCCAGACTGGCTCTGGGGATTCAGTATTGAGGGGGTGGGTTTCCCCATGCACTTAGATTAGTTATTGGTCCATTGTGCGTCCCTCTTTTAATTTCTATTGTCTCCATACCCTGCCGGTACTGGTGCTCGCTATTAGCCCCTTTCTGCCAGCGAGGTTCCAACCTTCTACTGGCAGTGGTATTTAATAGTTAGTCCCTTTCTGTCAGACAGGTCCCCCCTCCTCTGGCAGTGGTACCTAATACTTCCCCATCTACCGGAGGCATTGAAAACTACTTTGGGCGGGAAACTTTTTGCTAAATTTAGCTCAGAGGTCTCCTAGAGACATGAGGTTCTTTTACGTGCCGTAAATCTACGACACGGGACCCACCGGTTAAAGTCCCTCCCAGAGGACTTGTTCCCTGAATTTTTCCGCCCTTAAAAATTCCACGACCTCCGCCGGGTTTGAACCCGCCTACATTGAGTCATGAGGTGGGAACGGCTCTGGGGTACTGGGATATCTATCCCCGGGAGTAAGGTGAGCTGGACGCGAAGCTTACCACCAATCTCCACTCCCCCATTTGTCCTCATGTCGTGGTGCTTAATTAATTAAGTTTTAACTGAAGGGAAACGACCACTTAGATGACACAGACCTAGGCTGGAGGAAAACCGTAAAATATATTCTAAAGGAACAATATTGAGGTGCTGACTGAATTCATGTGGGTCAAGATAGGAAAGAGTTGAGAGTTGTTGTGAACCCTGCACTTAACCTTGGTGTTCCATTTCTGGACTAAGTGAGTGACAGCTTCTCAAGAAACGCTCTACTCCGTGGACTCAGCCACTTAGCTTAGTATTGGTTTGGGGAAACTCTCTCCTTGAGAAACTGCATGTATCACTTTGCAAAATGTTTACCTACTGATATTTGCGGAAATTACTCTCGAATCTGTGTCGCCTGGCATTTGTGGCTTTCTACACGGAAAGTCAAGACAATAATTACACGATTCGTCTCGCACGCTTCACTGTAACAAGACGTGACAGAAACATCTTCTCTACGTTAGAATAGGTTGGTAACACCGTGGCCAAGTTCCAGATTTCCATTCATATCGAAACACGATTTGGCTACAAGCTATCCGAATTGACGCTTTTCATAATTTTCGTCAGTGTCTCAACACCAGTGACGCAATAATGGACATTCCAATAATCCTAACCGTCTCCTTCCAATCTTACTCGTCGTTCATACTCCTTTTCAGAGCTCTGCGATGTTAAATGACCTGAAAATATTCTACCTTGTTCATAAATTAATAAAATATTATTTTTGAAGCTATCTCAGCTATAACGTAGCGTTGAATGGTGTAAAAAGGCTGAGATAACCCTGTAAGAGGCCACTCTCTGAAGAGAAGACGTAGTTGGTGCAGTTGAGTTAATTCGTTGAGTATTAGCAGGCAACCGTTAAAGCCGTTACCAGGAAACGACTAGCGGAGACTGTAACAGACTGAGAAACTAGTATGTGTGTAACAGTGAGCTGTTAAGTGTAATTACGAGTTCATTGTATAAATGGTCAATAAATTCAATCTCTAATCCAAACCACGTCTTGAGTCAATCACGTGACAATATGTGCATCATTATTCAATACATATTGCTGCCCTAAATGCTTTCAAAGCAAATAAGGTAGTAAATGAAAAAGAATATGACCAGTACGGTGTTGTTTAATTATGATCTTGAAAGTTTTTAATATTAACCAAGTAGCATGAATGATAATTCGAAATGGCGTAAATTTTCCATGTTCTATATATACATCACGATTTGATTATTATTATTATCAGGGAAATTAAATCACTCGTAATACTCCGTGTAAGTTGGATAATTGGACCAATTTAAACTCTCCGGTCTCCTAATTAGGCGACTTGGTACAAAGGCAGACATTGAACTATCACAAAAGGGTTTACAATGTAAGAACACGACTTGCCCTCATGCATTGTAGGTATTGTGGTGTGATTGTCATTCAACGTTTATGTAAAGTACTACGCAGAACATAGTGTTTTACAAGAGGGTTAAATTTTGAAGAAATGTAGAAAGAATGTTTTGTTCTTTTTCGGCCAGAATAAAGACAATTGGTGGGAAAGTGTGTACTTCAGAGGCACTTTAACACTGTCTGAAATATGCTCCTGTCTTTCAAGGCCTTTCTTAAATGCGACAGTCCAAATTACAAACTGGTTCAAAATACATCGACTATCGCTAATTGGATATATTGAACATTTAAACATATTAACTACACCTAATTATAACGCTCTTACTAATTCAGCTTTTGGTAGGAAATAAACAAGAGCTACGTTATAAACTAAAAACTGACAGGAACTTATGATGTCATCTGAGAGCAGAAGGAACTCTGAAACAATTTTTAGTAATTTATTTCCTGCTGCGTGCCCCCTGAAATAATTTTGCTTGTCACCGGCGATACGCGTGCCACAGTGTTGGAACACTGCCTCCAAAAGATAAAAATCTCTTCTTTCTACTGTCGTTGCATAGCAACTAAGCCATCTCACGTTTCTATTTCTCTGTCTGACACATTTTTTTTTTCTTTATTTCTGGTATATTAAGTCTTCAGTCACCAAATGAAATGTCATCTTTACTAAACAATCTTCCTTCTCTTGACTGTTGCAGCAGTACCAGACGGTGAGGGCAACTGAACATGACGGCAGAGATTCCGGTGTGGGTGAACAGCCGGCTACGGTGGGTGACTGGGATCGGACGCAAGACTACATGTGACGACGTGATTGCCGTCCTCCGCAGTGAGGAGGATGGAAGGACACGGTCTGAAGAAGCGACGACCAGAACACTTCAGGAAGGACAAGGATTCGCCATCATGGAGCGATGGCGAAGAATGGAACGTCCACTGGACGGCCGATCCCGCATCCTGCGAGTGTGGAACGCGTGGGGAGATGCTCAGGACGAAGTGCGCTTTACGCTGAAACGAGTAACAGACTGGGAGGCGGACAGTGGGAGAGGAAGCCCGGGGAGGGATTCCTGCAGTGCTACCCTGAGCAGGCGAAGGAAACATCACCACCGTGGCACGAAATTGCCCTGGCCACCGCATCATCAGACCATCCACCCGCGTCGACTGGCCCAGTTACATCATCATCATCAGCAACAACAAAGCCGAAATAATTTCAGCAACAAGTTACCGGAAACCATCGAGAGGCTAATGAAACTCATACTCGCTCAAGGAGAAACGATTCAGAATCAGCTTAGAAGATTACACGACAGGGACCACCAGATTGAGTGCATGGAGAGCGAGACACACCGCACAAGAGTGGAGACTCTCGGTTCGAACTACTTGCTGGAAACGTACCTGAAGCGTGGCTCGGAAGATGCTGACGAGGACGACGAGGAAGAGAAGGGGGATGACAGTGGCGTAGTGACTGAAGGTGGTAGTGACCAGAATCCACCCACACTACCAGAAGTTCCTTCTTCCACGGTGAACAGTGCTGAACCATCAGCTGATGGGTCCGAACCCGCAGTTGATCAAGATGACGCGACACTTCTGAATTTGAAGACCCGAGTTGAACTGTGGGAGAAGCTAGCGAAAGTGAACAAGAGACTTCAGAAAGAAGAAGAGTGTTTAGTGCGTCTCCATATTAAGTTCAGGCGATACAAAAACAGTCAAGCGGAAGGGTTAAGACTACTTCCGGATCAAGAGATAGATGAGGAGAGTTTCCGGATTAGGGACGCGCTGCTCAGGGACCTGGAAAGAGTCCGCCTGGAGCTGGAGCAAGGGACGAGGGAACTCGAGCACAACGCCCTGGTCCTTGCCGAGACGGAGACTCTCCTGGAAGCCCGCCGACATTACTTGAAGAGACTTCAGGCAGAGCTGGAAGCGTCAGACATTGGGACGGACGAGATGTTGGTGACACAGCAGTCGGCTGCTGGACACCGAAATGGGGGTACCACCACTGCGACCTGCAGTTCTGCCAATGATACGGACTCAAATTCTGACACAGGCCTCAGCTCCTTGCACAGCAGTAGTGAGGAGGGTGTCTATGTTCTTGACACTCTAGTTTGATATCGACATTGTTGTCTTGGAAATAAGACTGAGTTCATCAAATGACACAGTTTACAAATGAGATAATTTTTTTAAAAAACTTCTTACTACCGGCTTTACTCATAACTACAAAAACTTCATGAGCACGTAACACTGAGAGCTTGTTAGATAATGCGGTGTGTTCCACTGAAGTAGGCCTACCTATCTATAGTCTGTTACAGGGTACTTCAATAAACATACAGTAATCGCTATGACAATGATTAAATCACAGGATACTTAATTATTTGCCCACTCGAAAAACTGAATAGTAAATTCTAATCCCTTTTCAGACATCAATACATGTCGGTGGACTGTTTCTAGCGTGTTTTTGTCGATATCGGCCTTGCAATGTTATGAATATCATTCCAAGAAGTCCTTCCAAATTTTAAGATTAATTTTTTTTTCGGAAATAATTCTACAACGGATCAGACCAGAAGGGACACAGTCCGGTGAAGCTAACAAAGAAGGTGAAATATTTAGCTTGTGTGCTTAACGAGGAAAGTGCGCACTCTGAAGCTACTGCATCATTTGTAGTCAAATTGCATAGTTACCTAGATACACAAAATAAATTGGTGGTTTTCTTGACTTCCCATATTGGTAATTTTCAGAAATTGAAACAAATTTTCTGACTTCCTGGTTTCAGAATTCAGTACACTGTGTTAACCTTACAGATTTCTCTCCTCTGATTCCACATGTATTCAGAAACTAACCCCCTACTGTAGCTACCCTGGATAACCTTACCTACGCCTTCTCTGTACTCGAAGCCACAAAATTTTGAGATTTTAAATGAACTGACTTTTTTTTTAAATACTAACCTAAGAATATGATCATGGAGTTCCGTTTGATGTCAATATTAAACCAAGACAAAACAGAGTAGTATTGAAGTATTTAAAAAATGTGTTTAATTAAATTTAACAAGATAGTAAGGTTGCCACTATTTAATATTAACGGACATAATGGTACTTACGGTACAGTTTTTATGTAACTGAATATAAAATGATGTCGAGGCCCCCAAATAAACTGAGAATTACACCCTTATGTTAAATCCTTTGCCTAATTCAGCAACTCTCAGTGCGGTCACCGGACATATTGGCAAACAATGCGATCGAAAATGTAGGCAAAAAGTAGACTAAAAACTGTTGGAAGTTTCGGTTTTAAGGCTGGATTTTGTATGTGTGTGTTCTGAAAAAACTCAAAACCAAAATGGTGCAAGCATCATATATATATATATATCAACACATACATAAAAATTATATTTGGAACTGAATACTGTGGCGGATAATTTTGTTCGTGAATGCCAGCAAGACCAATCTGTTGCTTCAGAACCGCTGATCCAAGTGGAGTAGGATATAGAGCATGAATGATCCCCCCCCCCAGAAATTTAATTTAAAACTGCTTGTCCCTTTGAATTATCAGATTTTACTATCACCCAATTTGNGCATGAATGACCCCCCCCCCCCATAAATTTAATTTAAGACTTGCTGGTCCTTTGAAATATCAGATTCTACTATCAACCGATTTGTTATTTTCCAAGCATCCAATTACAGCAATAACTTCAGAATCATTTCATGGCAGTCACAATTAAGTTAACAACTTTGCCACGCGAGAGTTCGTGTTTTCTCACCGTATACATAACCAGAGGTACTTAGGAATTCATTCTTGTGAGACTCCCTTCCCAAGGCACTATACGTGCATTTTCCTGTGCAACCTTCTTCCTCATCTGTCAGTTTCACATTCTAAAACTCGAATTTATTCACATGTGATCTGGGGTGGTCGCTGTCAACTGTCTTGACAATCAGGGCTCAATTAATGGCTTATGCGGCGGGTTTCTTATGTCAAAATTGGCACGGGCTGACCGATTTCCTTTTCCACTAGGTACTAAGAGAGGTTTAACCCCTGGGGGTAAGGCACATTACACCGATTCTCTAGAACGGCTTTGTGACATTATATGAAGAAGCAACATCGCCTTTCACTTGTAAAACTTCCAACTTCCTCCGAATAAGTCTGAATATCGGCCAGTGTCCTTTGCATTTCCTTTTGTTAAATAATAAAAATACTTCCAATCTGTTTGTCAAATTAAAGGATGTAGCGAACATATTTCTATAATTCAATAATTCTAGATACGAGTATAAAGTGTACCTATCCCTATCACACGAGGCCATATGTATAAACAAGGACACTATTTGCTCACTTTAAGGAAGTGAATTGTTCCTATTTAGTACTTAAATAACAAAGGTGGAAGTCACATTAACGTAAAGGTAATAACCTAAGTAGAGACAAGAGAGGCCTGAAGTAATATGCATAGATATAGAATTAATCGGTGGGCGAATGTACACTTGTTTATTCCCACTTATAGTAAGGAAGAGTACAGGTAAAATATTCCCTGTGCTTAATTAATTAAGTTCTATGCCAAAGAGACATGGGGGAGTGGAGTTATAGCTCCACCATTCTTGACATCGGAACTGTATGGAGGTGACTGGTCAGCTTCACGCCTAAGTCTCTTTAACCCTGGGGAAATATCAACCGGTACCCATTGGATAGGAGTCTGGGTGGGCACGTATGGTGTAACTGAAATTTGCGGACCAATTTTGGGCACGAATTCCACATACCAGAACAAGAAAAAATGTCCACATCTGTAAACATTTAATTTGTGAGTTACAGCCGAAACAGTACATTTATAATAAGTGCTCAAAATGTTCTCCATGATATTCAATGCACGCTTCGACACATCTCATTATGGACCGCCCCATCCGTTCAAAGTTGCCGAGGCAGTTGTGGATAGTCTGACAAGCGTCCACAATGCGATGGTGACGTGCCTCTTCGTTGTCAGCAGGAGCTGCATATACAAGAGGGTTTAGGTGTCTCCACAGGTAAAAATCCAGAGGATTCATGTCTGGCTAGCGTGGAGACCATGCAGTGGTTCCTCCTCTACCTATCCATCAGCGATAAAAAGTGTTGTTGAGAATATCTCGCACAGCACGGCTAAAATAATTCGCAGCACCATCATGCACGTAGCGCATTCGTGCTGACTACCAGTAGCTCTGGCAGATCATGTATGAGGAGGTCTCTGTAGTGGTTGCCTGTAAGCCGATGTGGCAAAACGTGTGGTCCTCTCAAGCAACCACCAACAATACCTGCCCAAATACTAACACCGAACTGTAGCTGATGTCTATGAATAGATTCAATTGCACCATGAAGACTGTTCTCTGACCACCAGTGGTGAGTGTGGAACTTTGTAATGCCTTCTCTAGGAAAACATGCCTCGTCAGAAGGGAACAGTTTCTATCGTGCTAGGAAGGTATGAGAGATCGAAATTGATAACAAGTGATTAGGTCATGATAGTATTCCTTCAGCTATAAATCTCAAATTAAATGTTTCTGGACATATGTTGATGTGGATATTTGTTCTGATTCAAGTATTGTTTTGGAAGATAAACGCTACGAAATACAAAATTTGCCTCCATAAATAAACATAAATTAAAATAATTTGTCATACTTTGCTAACTTTGTTTGTAAATACTGTCACGTGTTGGGGGTTTGCCTGACGAATAATAATGGGTTCTGGATTTGATGATTAGGTTTATTGGTACTTCTTTACAATTACAATTATAGCAGCTAGCACACTGAACTCCATACTCCATCTGAATTCTCTTACGAATGAATTCGGCTCCTGTCTGACGAACGCTCTATGAAAAATCTCTCTGAAGGATCTACACTGCATTGAATGCACGAATGAACACCCTTTTATAATTGCCACGCGGCTCGAATATAAATCATCATGCCGAACAATTAATTATCCTCTATTATTCTGCTTTTTGTCACGGAAATATTATATTTATGTTCGTTACCGTGGAAACAGGTGTTAGCGAGTTGTTGTCTAGCAAAATTATTTCCGCTTCTGCTGCTATTGCGGTCTTTAGGCAGTGTTTACCTGGCCATTGCCTAGCAAATGATCATATTCCGACACGATAATAACAAACTATCTCCTTGATATGAACTGCTATAAGACACCACGGGTCCCTAAACACGAAGGTTCTTTCAAAAATCTTCCTCTTTCTCGCCCCTGGAAGATATGGGCCCATTATAACTACTATCAAAACTATTGCGCCTTCCACCTCACATGCTTTCTTACCAGATCTCTTCTTCCTTTCTCTGTGTACATAGACAATATACTTGCCAATCTGTCTCCTAGAATCCGAAAAATGTGTTGTATCTACGTATTTCTCTTCATATTATCTATGTTATTAAGCTTCTTAACAATTCTTGTATCTATACTCATTGCTCTGTTATTCAAACTCGGTGATTCTGATCTACACATAAACCCCATTTGTGTCCTCTCATCCCTTTCCGAAACTTTGGCCCTGAAGGATAAGCATACATATATTTTTTTTTTTCAAAATATATAAAAGACTGCTTAATTTCCTGTTTTTGCAAAATATGGGTGCAGTGTATTTTAGCGAGTTCTTCTAATAGTCTTCAGTTTCACTCATAACATTTTTGCTGCTTCATGCTTTACGTGTTTCTGCTCTTAAACATATTTCTAAGCTGATTTTGATAGTGATTTTTAATATTATTTTTGGTTCTAATAATATTTTTCGCGGAAATTTCTCTTGATAATAAAATTTAGTTGGACGTAACATCCAATACGTTTAACCGGAGGACTTCTATTTAAAAAAATGATGAAGCTATCCCTGTAACAGACAGTGAAGGCCCATAGGGTTGTGAGACGCCGAGGCTCCCACACATCCTAAACAATCGGTTCACAGATGGCAGTAATTTTTCAGCCTTACGCGCCGACCGACCTTAATCCTCCCCCCAGGAAAACTGCTGGTACTCATTTCTGTTAGAGGCGTAAGACCATGTTCATTGTTCCAAAAATCGAGTTGTGGTGTCTACTGCCTGGTATTAAAATTTATCCCGGTGCATTAAGTAGTTTGGGACATGACATAAGCGGGCTGAGTGAGAGAGACACGTGGACTTCTTTCTGTGTTCATTGCATGAGCCTGGTGCAAAGAACTCATAAAATATCACGTAAAATTCTCATGTCTTTAGCAGATACATTAAGAAATAAAATTATTTACGCTTGGGAAATCAAGTTAGTGTGTCCGACAGAGAATTTGAGACAGACAGATGTTTATCCTGAAAACCCACGTCTGTATTTGATAAAGATTTTATGAGGCGATCTGTAATGGCTCACAATTTCACATACCTAACAGCCGCCTTAAGGCAATCAAGAGGACTTGGTCAGAATTCCTCACAATAACGAATGCAAACGGGCAGACCCTCGGTCACTGCCTACAGCATTAAGAAACGAATACACGTGACAGATCAGTCGCCTGAAAGCTAGGGCTGAGCAGCACAGAATTTAATAAGAGTCATCGCCCCCAAATATTTGTTCCGTGCTACCGAATTACGACCGCCTCTGTGGTCTAGTGGTCAGAGTTCCTGGCTACAGATCCAGAGGTCCGGGTACCATTTTCTGAGAAGTAGTGTGTCTGGAATGGGGTCCACTCAGCCTCGTGAGGATAACTGAGAAGCTATTTCAAGGAAATAGCGGCTCCGATCTAGAAACTCGAAATTATCGGCCGTGTGGATCCGTTGCGCTGACCACGTGACACCCTCTATCTGCAAAAAGTTAACACTAACTTGACTGACAAGCGGCGGTCGCTCGGTCGGTATAGTTCGTTTGCGGACTTCAGGTCACGGAGTTACTGAATTACCAGACACATACGAACACAATGAAGTCATTGTTGGACATAAAACTAGAGTTATGAAGCAGTTCTATTAGAACGTGTCTATTTTAATGCAAATAATTGTCTTCCTCTTCTGACAACTCAAGCATTGAGCCATGCCTCATTCCGAGACAAGAGGAAGTGACATTTCCACCTCCTTCTCGGATATCCAACATCCCAGCTTCCATTACAGTGATAAAATTTTGATTACCACAGCAGATTTTCTGCAATATTATTCCATATTCCTTTAGATTCTTGATCAGTCATATAAATTGCTACACTTTATTCTGGTATTTCATATGTTAATCCACACACACAGCCACTAAATCGCAAGGTAAAGTTAAAGTTGCCCTTGTGCTTAACTAATTAAGAACTAAGCTATGAAGGCATATGAGGGAGTGGATGTATAGACCCACGTCTTCTTGACCTCGGCACTGGTTGGAGGTGAGTGGTCAGCTTCACGCCCCGGCCGCTTTACCACCCTGTAAAGAGCCCCCCATATCCGTCGGATAGGAGGCTGGGTGGGCACCAGAGCCAGTTTGGACATGGAGAAGTGGAAATTCTTGCCCTCATCGGGACTCTAAACTCCGACCGCTTGCTCATCCAGCCCGTAGCCAGTCGCTATACCGATTGCGCTATCCCGTATGAAACGAAAAAATCCAGAAAATATACAAACTTGACTTCCACGAGAAAATATAACTTTGCTTTTAAAAAAACTTTAAAACTTTGAGACTTGTACGTCTTGCGTGCCATAAAATATTAGAATAGAGTGTAACAATTTATAAAAATTCTCATATATACAGGGTGTCCCAGGAGGAATGTGCCAAACTTCGGGAGGGTGTTCCTTATGTTAAAGTATGCCGATATAACCCAAAACACCTACTATGTCCAAAGTTGAACGGTTACGGAGATAATGGTCCAAGAAAAGTGTGGTNAAGTCTGGCCGGACCAGTGCTTCTTGAAATTGCTTCACTAGTGCACTATATAGAAGTCATTGCCTGTATGGTTGACGTGTGATGTCGAGGACTTTGCATATTTCCGCATCAACCAGCTTCAGAAATATTATAACACAGTGTCACATGAAAATGTCACGGTCTCCTTCTGAAATATTGACCATGACAGGAAAACGTTACCGAAGTTGATATGGAAGGAATAGCATAGTCTTGTCTTGTACCATACAACAGTCCTGCTGCTGGTGAAACTGAGCTAAAACAGGGCATACATTTTTAAAAATAAAGCCCATCTGTACAAGAACCTGAAAGATTTCAACTCTAATTTGCATTTTTTTAAGGTTCGTTAAGCAATAATTTTGCCAAAAATGGACTAAGAGAAGTTAGCAAATAATACTAAAGTGTTTTATATTGTTTAAGTTCAGATTCAATGATCCTGTCATTAGGACAGAAAGTGATTTATCTAAGAACTTCCCCTTCTACGGTACCAAAAATATTGTTTTACCTTGAAGCTATAAGAGCAAATGTATTTTGCTGTATGCTAGTCATATATCCACATCGTTATATGATACTAATATTAAAGAATGTTCTCAAACTTTTGTGTTATTATAATTTTATTCCTAACATTTTCCCTCATGCTTCCAATACTTTACACAGGACCTATATTTTTTTGTTCGTATAGTGGCGGGGGGGGGGGGGTGNGGAGTCCAGCTGGGTCCACTAGGCACGTCGGCCACTGACTGCCCTATTGTACCTGCCCCGGGTGATTACGATGATGGAGAATTTGGTGGAATGAAAATTGGCAGGGGAAACCGAAGTACTCGTAGAGAATCTACCCCAGCGCCACTTTGTCCACCACAAATCCCACTTGACCCGGGACCCCGCGGTTGGAAGCCAGCGACTAACCGCTTGAGTTATGGCGCGTCCTCAGGACCTATATTACATAATTATACATTGCATCTATGTTCGTGAGTGCATAACAACATGCAAATATGCACGCATGAAAGGTCGCATCAGAAGAGAGATAATTTCACTAAGGTTTAACGTGGAGTTCGTCCGTCCCTGCGAGATAAAATCTCGAAACAAACACAACTACTTAGATTCGCATCATTTCCAATTCATAATGCAAGATCAGTTTCCCATTCTGACATAGATTGATAGAGTATTTTTTAGTTGTGAAGAATACCGTTTTCTGGGATGTGGCGCCGTGTAGATATTGCATAAACCGACGTCTCGGAGGAACTTATCGCCTCCATCTTTGAGGTAGATGAAAAAAAGAAAAAGATCCGCGAGCGAGGAACCAGCATGAGCAGGTGGTTGAAGACTAAGTCTTTCGGAGGAACGTATCGCCTCCATTTTCAGAGTAGAACTAAGAAAGTCGGCGAACGAGGAACCAGCATGAACAGGTGGCTGCAGACTGCCTGTCTGCATCCACATGCTCACGTTGGTTCCTGCTCGAGGATATTTTCTTTCTTTTCTTCTACCCTGAAGATGGAGGCGATACGTTCCTCCGAAACGTCGGTTCATACAATATCTAAACGGTGCCACATCCCAGAAAACGGTATTCTTCATAGTCACAGCCGTGAGAGCCTCAAGTTTTGTTTTTTTTTTAGTTGTTTAGAGATAATTTCAACTACAGAAATTATATTTCGAATGAAATGGAAAAGTTATCATGAATGGGTAAGGGTTTGGAGGAGATCGTGGTGTGTTTACAAGGTACTGTTCCGAAATTCGTAAGGGGTTTCTGAGGACAAACATAAAAACCCTCAATCAATGTAGTTAGCGTAGATGAATCAGCAGAACTAAATAAGTTAACGATGGATCATTATATATCCAATCTCTACACCAGGCACTGATTGAAATGTCGTTTAATATACAAATCCAGCAGACAACTTTCGCTTTCGGCCTTCCATCCGTTGTGACTCATGACATCAGAAAGAAAGTAAAACAACCGTAAGAAGGTCTTGTTTGCAGTTAGTACTGACCTATTAGTGTCCTCTAACTCAGCGGTTCTCAACTCTATCTGGTTCATGGGCCAATACAACAGCAGTGGTGTTTCCTAGACCGGAACCGCTGAGTGCTGCTCACTATGCAGCAGTAAAAAGTAAAGGTATCCCTGTAACAGGCCGTGGAGGCCCATAGGGTTGTGAGATTTTGAGGTTCCCACATTTTCTAGACAATCGGCTCATAGATGGCGGCAAGGTTGTTAGCCTCACGCGCCGGCCGCCCCAGGAATATTCCTGGTACTCATTTCTGTTAGAGGCTGAGTCGACCCTAGGGCCATAGTGCGGCCAGAAGGATTAGGTCAATTGAAAAGAATCCAATGATCTCATCGGGACTCCAACCTGCGACCTTTCGGCTTGTAGCATAGTGCCTCAACCAACTACGCTACCGCGTGTCCTCACTGTGTAGCAGTGCAAGCAATATTCCACAAACGTAATCAACACACGGATAAACGCACTGAAGATAACATAATGTCCTTGTGTCATGCTAAAATCGAATGTATGTCTTAATTAAATTCGACATAAAGTTTATGATTCATGAGGTAAGAAGTAAGTAAAGTTGTTAGACATCGATACTGTGGAACAGGTTCCATATGAATGTATCCATAAAGGGTGGATACACTACCAACTTTATCAATCCTGCACTTCGATTGATTCGTAGAATTTTATTGATAGGGGTGTCACAGTAGTCACTTGGTTCCATAAATTTATCCAAGGCGACTAAACATTAAGTAAGTTATGGCGTTGGGCCGCGCCATAGCTCAAGCGGTTAGTGTCGGTCCGGGTCCGAACACGGGTCAGATCATGTCGGTTTTGTGGTGGACAAAGTGGCACTGGGGCAGGTTTCTTCCGAGGACTTCAGTTTCCCCTGCTAATCTTCATTTCACCAATTTCTCCACAATCACAATGATCATCATCTGTGGCTGGTACAATAGGCCAATAGTGGCAGCAGCGCCAAGTGGACAACAATAACAAGCTATGGCGTCACAATCACATAGGCTATGTGTGGCTGATTCATCTTTTTCTTGGCACCTTTTACATATAGGGTTATCTGTCAGTCCCAATTTGTAAAAGTGTCCTTTTAGGTGACAGTGTCCTGTAAGTAGTTCTACCAACCATCTCAACTGGGCTCTCTCTAATTTTAACAGATCCTTCGTTCTTCTGACTCAGGGTCATTGTGTAAGTACTTTCGAACACGTTAAGTAGAACCGTCACGGATGGAAAATCTATTAATGATGACCCCGGGTAAAATTAAAGTTGACGGAACTTGGAACAGATCAGTTTTACAACTTCACACCAATAATTCGCGAGGTTAATGATGATTAGTGTTTTCTGTAATACGATCCCTGGAGTTTGGTAGATATTTGCAGAATTTTTCGAAGGAACTTCTGTAAACATCTGTCATACTGCAACATGTAACATTCCAAAAGGCAGAAATTTCAAATCTCACAATTTGTATATAATATTGTACTTACTATTTCTCAGTTTCTTCTGATGCTCCACGCTTCGCTTTCCACCGGCCCTGAAATATAAAAATCCTGGGTGAATACACGAGAGTAAAAAGAACAAATGACAGTGAAAACTATGCAGGTGTATGGACAGGAATAGCACAATTTCCGCTCGCTGTTTAAAGAAAATATCAATACATATCACCGGTTCGAATGGGTTGAAAAAACCTCACTTATTCCTACGTGCGTCGTGAAAAGTGCGTAAAACCAAGGCATAACTGAGCGATGACGGCAAGAACTTCAGTTTCCACAACTCTGCGTTTGAAAACCCTCTAGAAGATTGGCAAAATAAAAAATAATAAACGTGTCTATTTTTTGCTTGTTTCATGCAAAATTTCTTATCGGATTTTGATTAAATTCAGTAGTAGCGGAGTGGGCTCCAAGTATAATTAGAATGATCAAGTCAAGGAGGATGAGGTGGGCAGGGCATGTAGCACGAATGAGGGAGACGAAATACATATTTAAACTTTTTCTGCTAAAATAATAGAAGAATTAACTATTAATTTTTACGAAGATTATTTTCAGATAAGCCGCATTAGGATTTGCCTTTATTATAATAAGTAAATGGTTGTAATGCCGGTCACGGTAGCCGAGCGGTCTAAGGCATGCACTGTCTTCGCTCGCTCAGAAGCCGAGATCGTGGGTTCGAATCCCACTCAGGGCATGGTTCTTTGTGTGCGTTTTTCTCTGTTTGTCTACAGGTAGAGGCCTTGCGACGAGCTGATCACTCGCCCAAGGAGTCCTACAGAATGTGTAAGATCTAGAAAAACCGAAGTGAACAGAGAAGTTCATGGAAGTAGGCCTAGGCCCACTGGGGCTGTAGTGCCAAGGAAAAAAAATGGTTGTAATGAAGTTCATGGAGGTAGGCCTAGGCCCACTAGGGCTGTAGTGCCAAGGAAAAAAAATGGTTTTAATGGATGTGTGGCTCTATGTATATGCCCGAGATGAGGAGTGGATAGAAACTGAGAACGCAGGCATTCCCATCTGCGATTGATGCTGTCTGCAGTGCGAGACACACACACACGGCACTTAGCAGAGCAGAGAACATATTCAGGTTTCCTCAAACATTGTTACGAAAGTATGTTAAGACGAAGATCAAAATTTGGGGAAGGCTGTTCAAACTATACCTGGCAGAAAATTGGTCTTCTCCGATGAACTGGAGAAGGAACTGGTGGAGTATTTATTGTTCGTGAACGAAGCTATTCGGTCTGATAACTCAAGGTATAAGAAGACTTACTTTCGATCTACCTTTAAGAAATGATCCTCAGAATAACTCTTTTCAGCTTGAGGGGACCGCAGGTAAAGACGGTTTCTACGCTTTCCACAACCTACACAAAAATTCTCTTTTGCTACGATTCCTAAGGGGAATTTCTTTTTCTATAGCAAAGGGATTTAGCAAACAAACGTCAACAACTTCTTTGATTTACTGGAATCTGAAGTCGAAAAACAACATTTTCACGAAAACACAATTTATAACTTTGAAGAAAGTGCTTTGAGAGATTTCCAAATAAAGTACTGAAACGATTATTTTGCAACGGTCGTCTTGAAATTGCAATTTATTGGCCTTCTCGTAGATTGTTGGTGTGTTACGCTGTCACTTTTTATAAATTATACATGTCTCTACACGTTTCGAACTTATATAACTGTTGGGCCGCGCCATAACTCAAGCGGTTAGTCGCGGGCTTCTCACCGCGGCGGCCCGGGTTCAAACCCGGGTCGGGTCAAGAGGGATTTCTAGTGGACAAAGTGGAGTTGGGGGAAGGTTTTCTACGAGTACTTCGGTTTCCCCTGCCAATCTTCATTCCATCAAATTCTCCATCATCATAATCACCCGGGGAAGGTACAATAGGCAAATCAGTGGCCGCCGTGACGTGTAGACCCAACTGGACTCCACCCACCACTAGGCTAATTAAAATTATATAAGTGTTGCATTATATAGCCTTTTATAGTCCACTGTCCTAAAGCGTAATCAAAACTTGTTCCAATTATTGCTGAGCTTTGTTACAAACATACTCTTTTCACCTGGTGCTTCGTGTTTCTGACATTCCATGGTTTGTTGGGTTATGTGCGGCAACTTATTACAGTGCAGAGTGGTTGATTTAGGGCTGAAGTCTTTATTCCCTACGACGTTGGACCGTGTAATTTCAATGGATGGTCACTCATCAACCACCGACGTAAGTACACGATATACATACCCATTTTCACTACGATCCGTCCAGACTTTCAAGAGGCCGCAGTGTCGATGTTATTCATGGGAGGGTTTGATGCAGTACGCCGTTGAGTTGGCATCAGGTGACATTATATACATACTGAGTTTCAGACCATCCGTTCAGTCATTTAAGCAATACTGTTCTTACCTCAACGACCTGAGAGACTGCAACAGGAGGTATTTGTGAAACACTTCGCTGAGGTGGCCTCGGATTATATAAAAAATGCCAGTTTTCATGTCGATCGGTTCATGCATTCGAGTATTATTAAGACTACAATTCGAGAATTTGCATTATTGGTATTAGTGACGGGATGGATTTATGAAATACGTCGTTGGGATAGCCATGGGTGGCATGACATATGTACCCGGTTTCATAACGACTGCTTCAGGCATTGAAGAAATATTAAGGCTGTTGCCTTAACAATCAGAGAAGCCGCAGTCTTTGTATTGTGATGGGAGGGATTTATAAAGTAAGTCTTTGGGATAGAAACAGGTGACATGATATATATACCCGTTTTCATGACGACTGGTTCAGGCATTCAAGAAATATTAAGGTTGTTACATTAACAATTTAAGAGGCTGCAGTCTTGGTGTTATTGATGGGAAGGATTTATGAGGTTTGCTTTTGATATGGCCTCACGTGGCATGATATACGAACCAAGTTTCATAAAGATCGGTTTAGGCGTTCAAAAGTTGTTGGGGGGGGGATACACATAGAGACACACAACCACACACAGACAGCAAGGTGATTTCACAAGCCTACTTTTATTTTTCAGAAAAGAAAAGTGGACCAAAAATAAAGTTTCACTGGTTTTATAAAATAATCTCATGGCGAGTAACGATAATTTTGTATGACAATGATATAAGCGAACACGCTGTGCATACTGTTATATCAGCTGCTAAAAAACACTGCTCTTGCTAACAATGCGTTGCAAGAACATGATACAGAAATATCCACTACTGTCAAACTGTAAAATAGTCTTACTAAGTACCTTCGAGAAACAGGAGACTATGAAGAAAAGACAAAAATTTCTGTCCCTCTTGATTGTAGTTTTTGTGAAAGGGAGCAAGAAAACGAATCAGAAGAATGTCAGGTGGCAAAACTACAAAGCAAGTTGAACTGGGTTCCAGAGAAGATTCAAAATCTAATCATATTACATAACTGTGGTCAAATTACTTATTGAAATGGAAACATGGAAAGCACACAATTCTGCTTTAAGTGGAATATTTATCTTCCTAATTGACCATTATGCTTTACCATAAAATCAAAAACGTCGAACCTAGTCAAGGTTTTATCGACAAGATTTAGAAGTTGATATCATGGATATATTTATCGGGGGTTTTTTTTTTTGTTTTTGTTTTTTTTTTTTGTACCAGATATGTCTGTGAGGAAGACGTTACAGATTTCACTTTCTAACAATTCTATGAACAACTTCTGAATATAAAAATTGTTTTTAAAATTGATTTGGCAAAATTCAGAGCACCCTGTGAAGGTGAAAGATCATTTTCTGTTCTGAAGTGAACCAAAAAATGTCAAAGATCAACACTGGGACACATACTGTGCCTTACTGAACATCACATGAAACAGCTGGAATTAGAACATCTTCACTTAGAAAATTATAATTTAGGTGCTAGATACTGTAGGAAAACACTGGAGAAAGGAGGAGTGAGTATTTTTGTACATGAAAACCTAAAATTTACTAAAATAAATTTAGAAGATTATTGCAAAGACCAGGATCTGGAAGCATGTGCTCTAAAGTTAGACTCTCCTTTTTCTAATATTTGTATACTGACTTTATATAGAGCCCCATCTGGAAACTTCGATCACTTTATAAATAGATTAGAAACCATCCTAAATGTACTGCATAGTTCAAAAGTTGAATTTATAATTTGTGGTGATATAAATATAAACTATCTCATCGACAGTAATAGGAAACTAAATTTAGACTCTTTGTTATCATCTTACAATCTCTCCAGTACTGTTAACTTTCCCACAAGAGTTCAAAATAATTCTAGTTCAGCGATAGATAATATATTCATTGATAACTCAAAATTAAGAGACTATACTGTAGGACCCTTTATAAATGGCTTATCCGATCATGATGCTCAACTCATAGAAATAAATAATATTGACCTTCAGCCCAGTAATCAACAATATCAAACAGTAAGGAAAATCAACAAGCATACGATGGCAGATTTTGTCACAAAATTAAGTAATGAATCATGGGACAATGTATTTGACAGCAATAATATTGATTCTAAATTTAATTGCTTTCTGAACACATACTTGAGGATCTTTTATTCAAGCTTTCCCTTAAAAATAGTCAAAAATGAAAATAAAAACAAATCCACCTGGATAACAATTGGAATAAAAACTTCATGTAAACACAAAAGACAACTATATTTGGCCAGTAGGGACAGTAATGATCCAAGACTAAAAAGTCACTACAAAATGTACTGTAAAATTTTGTCAAAAGTCATTAAAGAAGCCAAACAGAATAACTATAACAGCCAAATTCTAAAATCAAACAATAAAATTAAAACCACCTGGGATATTGTGAAAGTTGAATCAGGAAAGAAATCTGTTAATGAAGACGTACAAAGTTTGAATATTGAAGGGAAGTCCACTAACAATCCACAAGCTATCGCAAGTGCATTTAATGAATATTTCCTTTCATTAGCTGAGAAAACATATTCCAATAATAATAATAATAATAATAATAATAATAATAATAATCCAATATACTATCTGTCTCGTGCCTTTAACAATTCATTTCCAAATATCAATCTCAAATTCTCAACAAG